GTACGATTGGTGTCAGTTCTTCCCTGAATGCTTTGTAGAATTCTCCCATTTTTTAGTTTGTTATCCCTTGATAACCTTGTCTATTTTTCCTATTGGTATGGTTCTCTTGAGATTCTTGATGCTCATCGGGGATAGTCTAGGGATGGATTGTTTTTCCAAGAATTTGTCCATGTCTTCCAAATTATTGAATTCTTTGGAGTACAAACCTTCGTAGTACTATGTAATTATCCTTTTGGTTTCAGTAGGGTCCATTGTAATGCCCCTGTTTCATCCCTTGCCCTTGCTATTGAAATTTGTTCCCTCTTTTCTTTGGTTAGGTTTGCCAGCAGTTTGTCGATTGTTAATCCTTTCAAAGAACTAACTTTTACTTGCATTAATTTTTTTCTGTAGTTTTCTTGTTTTCCTTCTCCTGAATCTTAGCCCTGATTTTTATTATTTCTTTTCTTTTTCTATTAGTAGGATTGTCCTGTTGATTCTGCTCTAATTGTACATTTGGTGTAAACATATCTATCCTACGTCTCTCTTTATTTTTCATGTGTGCTATTGCTATCAAGCTTCCTCTGGTAACTGCCTTTGCTATGTCCCATAGGTTTTGGTATGTCATATTCTCATTCTTGTTGGTTTCTAGACACTTCCTAATTTCATCTCTAATGTGGGCCAATACCCACTCCTTTGCAATAGTTAATCCTCCTCCTATTGTTTGCCCTTCCTTTTGTTGATTTCCAGCCTTATTGCACAGTGGTTGGAGGGAGAAGTCTGTATGCTCTCTATGTGCTTAAATTTACCCATATTTGACTTGTATCCCAATATGTGGTGTATTTTTGATTAAGTGCCACATGGGCTTTTAAAGAAGGTGGATTTAAAAAAAATTTGCATGGAAAGCTCTGAAAATATCTATCAGGTCAAACTGCCTCATTGTAATGTTTAGATTTGTAGCCTCCTTTTGAATTTTTTTCCCTGTGATGTATCTTTTTCAGACAGTGGTGTATTAAAGTCACCTACTATAATTATTGTTTGTGGTTTCTTTTTTCTTTTTTTGGAGTGTTTGATTGATGAATTTGCAAGTCTCTCATTGAGCACATATATATTAATTATGCTCACTGGTTCTTGTTCTACCGTTCCCTTGAACATTATATAGTGCCCCTCTTTATCTCTTCTTATGGCTTGCACCTTTAGATCAATTTTGCCTGAGATTAGGATTGCAACTCCTGCATTTTTTGAACTGCCATTTGTTTGGTATATTTTCCTCCAGCTTTTGTTTAACAGCCTATCTTTGTCTGTAATCTCTAATGTGTCTCCTGTAGCTGCAGATGGATGGGTTGTGTTTTCTAAGCCAGTCTGCTAGCCTCTGCCTTTTAATGCCTGAGTTCAGTCCATTGATATTCAAGGTTATTACTTCCATCCGCAGACTCTGTGATGTCATGTTTTACCATTTGTGTTGGATGTTTTCCTACCTCCTTGCCTTATCAGAGGGTTGTGCATGTGTGTCTGTATGTGTGGTTCATTTTTTACTTATTTCCACCATTGAGCCAATGCTATCTTGGGGGCTGTTTTCTTTGTTGCCCTCTGGATGGAGTTGTTCTATCTGATGATCATATTTTTGCCCAGTGGGTGCTATTCTTCTGTCCATACAAGGTCGGCAAAGATCTTTTGGGTTTCTTTTATCGTATTCTTTGAGTTCTTCCTTGTCTGGGAAAACTCTTACTTAATTTGGCTGTATAGAGTATTCTTGGTTTTGCATTATTTTCCTTCAATTTTTGGAATATGTTACTCCACTCTCTTCTTTACTTCATTGTGTTCTGTCCACTTATAAGTGTGAACATATTCTTATTTCGCTTCCTTTGTAGGTGCCTGTTTCCCCCTGGCTGCTCTTAATGATTTTTCTCCTTTTCCTCAAAGTTGGATAGTTTAACTATTATGTGCTTTGATAGCTTCTTCTTGGGATTCAGTCTAACTGGTATTCTTTCAGCCTCCTGAATGATTGTCTGGTTTTCATTCATTAAGCTGGGGAAGTTTTCCTCCAAGAATTCTCTCACTATTGTTGCAGATGACTTCTTTGTTGTGTCTTCCTCCTGTAAGCCAATAATTCTAATGTTGTTCCTCTTCATAGCTCTTAAGTTTTCTTCAGCTTCTCTGATGATCTTGTTTGACGGTCTTTCCCATTTGTTAAAGTCTGCATAGTTATTCTCTAGGTCACTGGAGTGATTCTATGCTTCCTCAAGTGTGTTGGTGAAGTCTGTGAATTTTACTGGCTTTTTAAAATCTTGTCCCTTAACTTTTGTATTTCTCTTGATGTGCAGCCTTTATCTCCTCCATCATTTCATCCATTTTCTGTATTGCTTCCCTCATATCCTGTGTGACTCTAAGCAGCATTCTGAGGATTCCTTCTGTGGCAGATCAATATCTGCTTCTTCTATGCACATCATTGCTTAGGACTTCTTCTAACATTGCATTTTGTGTCTCTTGTTTTTTTTGTTGTTGTTGTTGTTGTTGAGGTTCTGTTTATATTTAATTTTCAAGGACCCCAGCGCCTTTTCCCAGAGTGTCAAAGAACTCTGGGCTCTCTCTTTGGGAGACTCATAGGAATGCTTCTTTGAACTGCCTGAAAGGTAACTTCACCAGAGGGTTGGGCTACTACTTTATTCTCCTGTGGTTTCACTCTTTCCCTAGCCAACCAGTATCTTGTTATTTGGAGGGCAAGTTGCATGTTCCTCTCAGCATCCTTTCAGCGGATGCTGGCTGGGTAGTTGTGAGCCCACAAGGATGGTGCTGAATTGGATGATCTCCTAAGAAGTCATGGTGGGGTGGCCCACAGCAGCTTGGAGGATGTGTGGGGTGCTTGCTGCAATGGAAGTTCCGCGGAGGGTGGGTGGGTGTGCCCACTTTGGTGTAGAGCACTGTGGATGTCCTTTGGAATTTCCATAGTTGCCAAGGTTGTCGTGGATATCCAGCGATGGTTCTCGCAACAGAGTGGAATTCTGGAGAGGTCTGGAGCTGCCTTATGCCGTGAGAAGCACACTGGCAAGTGGGAGGAAGTTCCCGCAGCCACTTGTAGGGCTGCAGAGTATGGCTAGGGGATTCCCCAGCCATGTGGAGCACCACAAAGGGCGCTTGGGAGTTCCCCCAGCCACTTATAGAGTCTTGGAAAGTAGGCGGGTGTCCCCCCCGCCATTTGAAGGGGAGATCCCCCAGCTGTTTGGGGTGCTGCAAAGCAGGTGGGATTTCCCCAGCCACCTGTAAGGCCACTGAGGGTGGGCAGGAGCTCCCCCAGCTGGGCAGGCATAGTTTCCCTAGGCAGAGGGGCGTGGCCTGGAGGCCAGAAGTGGCATGTGAGAGGATAGAGAGGAAGAAAAAAAAAAAAAAAAACGAGCCTGCTGAGACTGGCAGGAAAGACAGGAGTGAGAGAGGGGGAAAAAAAGTAAAGAGAAAGCTAAGCCCTGTTTACCTGACTGTGAGGCTGGAGGGGTTTAAACCCTGCCCAAAGGTGGCAGCTAGCTGTGGTTGTGTTGAAGTAAAGCCCTTGGGCAAGCCAAGGCAGCCTGGCGCAGGCCAAGACTGTGGTGGGCCTAAAGCTAAGCACCAGCCAGCCTCTGCAGTGGTAAGTCAAAAGCTCACAGCTCTTCCACACCTAGTGGATCTGTGTCTACTTATCTTTATGCTGCTTCTCCTGTGACCTGGAAGAGTAGAATTTCCCTCAGTGGTTCTCCTGCACTGATTTCTGCAGAGTCCCTCTGGTGTGTGTTACTCAGTCGTCATCTTGCTGGAACTCCCCAGCATAACTTATTTTAACTTCCTTAATAAACCTTTTAATCATGAATCCTGTTTGTGCATTCTAAGTAGCGATTGCAATGAATATTAGAATCCAGAGTGGTAATATCAAAAACACTAATTTAAACAACTCACACAGTTCTAGTGAAACAGTGAACAGGCATTTTAGGTGGCCAGAAAGCCATGCATGCAGGCTCTGAGATAAACATTCAAGGAAAATAAAGTCCACACTTGTGACCAGAGTAGAGGTAACATAGTGGAAAACAGTATGAATGAGAATTCTGAGGTGAGACACCTAAGCTGGTAGGTCCTCTTGTTATTCTTGGTCGCTAAAGCGTCAACTTTCACTCACAAAAAATGAAACATAGCCAAGCCTTTTTCCCATCTTCATCATCATTATTCTTGAGTTTATCGTTGTGTCAATTCATTATTTCATTGAAGATCTCCATCAGTTGCTAGCTGACCCTCTACCAAAAACTATGCTCTTTTCTAGTAATTGATCTTTCTTAATGATAAATCTAAAGTAAGTGGGTTGAAAGAACAGTTCTATAAGACTGATTTGTTCTTTTTTGTTGTGGTTGTTAGTCCATAGCTCAATATTGTTTGCTAACATCATAATTCAGACATATCCTTTCTTCTGTTTTCCTTTTTCATCACCCAGATTTCTCATGCATATATGATGATTGGAAAAGACCACGGGTTTGTGCCCGATATGCCATAATCATAGATGCTGAGCTTTACGGTAGCAACAATAAGAAGCCATTTAACAATGTTATGCAAGGAATTGTTAATAGCAGCTTCCATTTTTATTATTTAATTTAAAATGAGATTGGTTTGGTGGAGATACCAGTTAAGTGACTAATGAAGCAGACAAGGTGGGAGATGATGGTGGCTTAGAGGAGGGAAGCAACAGCAAAGACTATTAGAAAAGTAGATTTCCCGACATGGCAATGGATTAAATGTGGAGAGAGATGAGCTCTGAGATAGCTTCCATATTTTATACATTTCATGGTTTCTACCCCTTGTACGCTTTGGAATCCGAGAAATATTAGAAATTTTCCATCTTTTTCACAGTGCCCCTAATCAGTGGGGTCTGAAAAGCACCTAATCAGAGATTTTGAGAGTACAGATTTTGAATGAGAGGTGAGTAGATGAGTCAAATATAATTAGAGGCATTTTTATATGAAACTATAATGCACTTCTCTCTTTTTCTCTCCTGGGCATAAAAATAGGAGAACTCACCGTGAAAGAACCCAAGTTTATTGATTTTGAAGTCAGAAATGATGTACAACTCATTGTATTAGCTGAAGGAGGTGGACATAGAGCCTACAGTAAACTATCAGTTGTGATACAAGATGTGAATGATAATGTGCCGTGTTTTGAGCAAAGCGTTTACAAGGCATCGGTGTCTGAAGGCCAGTCCCCCAATGCTCACATCATACAGGTAATAAGAATGTGTTTTGGGGGTGAATGATTTTTCAATTAATGTACATACAGCAAAATACACAAGACCTTTCTTTTGAACAGAAATAAAATTTTAAATGTACTGGGCTCCTCTACGGTCTTAAGTAAACAGATCAAAAGAAGGCTGTTTCTGAATTTTACTCTTCTTCCTCTTGATTCATTGAGTACTGCCCACCTGTTTTCTCTAGACACTCTCTAGGGACTGTATAGAGCACCATGTATCTGGTTATGTTAGTCATGTTTTTCTTAGTTGCATTCAAGTTGATATTGACTCACGGCAGCTCCATGTAGGCAGAATAGAACTGCTTCACAGGGTTTTCAAGACTCCCATATTTTGGAAACAGATCGCCAAGTCTTGTTTCCAAGGCACTTCTGGGTTGGTTTGAACGCCCAGGCTTTTGGTTTGTAGTCCAGCGTGTAACTATTGGCACCACAGAGTGGGTATATATTATTGGCACTCTAAAGTTCTTAGTGATATACTAGTCTAGGAGACTCTCGATCTACAGCCTTCTTAGAAGTGTAGACTCCATAGATATGATGGCTTTATCCATCCCCAAACACGGACTAATTTCTCTTCCTGATAATCCCAAAGGAAAATGTGTATTACAGCTTTCATTGATCAGATGTATAGCTCATGTACCCTGCAGATGCGATCCCTGGGTGCTCAGGGCCCCCTCAGGACTCTAAATTAGTGTGAAAGGAACACAGAAGGGGTAAGGACATCAATATAACAGACCAGGAGAGAGATGATGGGGTGTGGTCTAAAGCTGGGGCTGAGAGCCATAGAAAATATAAAAAGCAGACTATTTTAAAGCAAATCTGTCAACTTGTCCTTAAACAGGAACAAAAGGCCACAGTATTCCCATGGGGAATGACAGACTTTGGTGTTATTATCAATACAACTAATTAAATAAGTACTCACGATCTAAATTTATTAACTCTAAATATAGATGTTGTTTCATTTTTTAAAAGATCACTCTAAAATAAGGCTTTAAATACATATCTTAAAATCTACATACCCTTGACTATTTTACAGTACTACTTTAAGCAAGGAAAATTAATGAAGAGTAACTGTAAAGCTATTGTTCACTAGGTAAAAGACTTCTTGAATGTTTATTATCTTTCCTACTTTTAGCCTGAATCCATACCCAGTACTTGAGATATTCTGTTCAAGCAGATTGGATTTTTTCTAAGTATTTTTTTTCTATTGCATAATTATAGCTCAAAAATGTGTGCCTTTCCTAATGAAAATTTCTTGGAAATCCTTTGTGTACGCAAAATAATTTCCTCACTCTTCACCCACCTTATTATAAACCTAAAGTTTCAGCAGTTTGTTATTTTTCCTTTCATCGTTGTTCGAAAATGTGTTTGACAATCTGTGATTCTTACATCATATTGCAAATTAAATCTTTATTTAACAGAAGAATTCATCCCTCACAGGTTTCCGCTACTGACCCAGATGGTGGGTTGAATGGCCTCCTTGAGTATTCCATTATTTCCGGCAACCAGGGTGACATGTTTCAGATTGACGCCCTGAGTGGTGTGATCACTACAAGTGGGATGCTGGATTATGAATCGACCAGCTCCTACAGGTTTGTCTGTGATTTAGACAGGTTGGATCTGCCTTGTTTCTGATAATGCTGTTGTTTTGGGGTATGGCTTCATATTATGTAAGCTTAGTTGTCAAAATGTTTCCCTTTTGCTCCAGCTCATTATTATTATTTTGGTGAAAATATACATAACAAACCATACATCCATTCAACAATTTTTACATGTATAATTCAGTGTGATGGGTTACAATGAGTATATCATGTCCCCATTTTCGCTATCTCTACCAAAATTCTTTTGACTACCATTAAAATTTATATTTTGAATGCCCCTTAATATATATCTGTGCTTTACAACTACTGTTGTCCATTTGATTTCATAAAGATAAATCTTTAAAAGAATGTATTATCTAAGCTAGAATTATTTATTAATGTTGCTGAACAGTTGTTTATAGAAGGTTTCATGAGGTAGTTTTAATTCAAGGCATAAAAATAATTGTAGAAAAATAGATTCAGGGATTATTCTACTCAGTGGATCTGGTAGGTCTGGATCCCATGGGAACTTGATGTTCTGTTTTACGTGTTTCTTCTTTAGATTAGGATCCATCCATTTGGCATTTGTTGAAAATAGTCAATAATGGTACCTGGGCACCAACCATCCCTTTAGTTTCTTGACAAAGAAGGGAATTCATGGGAGTAATAAAATCTGAAGCCTATTTATCTGTCCAATTCCTGGGTCTCTTCTTTCTATTGACAAATACAGACCATTAGTTATATCTTGGGTGGCCACTCCTAAGCTTTTATGATCTCACAAAACTACTCAAAAAACCAAAAAGTAGAAGAGAAGCTAAAACAATGGCAGGCCAAGTGACGGTAGAGAACCATGAAGCCATGACTCTAATCCTTTGAACCAAGAAAATTTGTCCACATGAAGTTTTTAGGTGAATCTAAGTATTATCAACAAGCACAGCCTTTTGGGGGGTGAGCTGCCATTGTTGTACAATTATATATAACACTGCATTTGCCATTTTGACCATTTTCCTGGCGTACAGCTTAGTGATAACAGTTACATTAAACAAATTGTATGGCCATTCCCCTTAGTATATGCCAGTGTTTCCATCACCACAGACATAGACAAGAAGTCTACTTCCCTTCCCCTACCCAACCACGGTAACCACGAGTAACCATTGGTCTCTTCTATATTTATATATTTTATAGTTTCATGTAAATGAGACCATGTACTATTTGTCCTTTTGTAATTGGCTTATTTGACTCAGCATGCCTTTCTTTGAGTTTAATCCATGTTATAGCATGTTTTAGGACTTTTCTTTAAGGCTAAGTAGTATTCCATTTTATGAAAGTACCACATTTTGTGTATTCATTCATCTGTTGATGAACCCTTCGGTTATTTTAAGCCAACTTAGGATTCAGTTTTTATATATTTGGTTTTAGAAATTATTTACTATAAAATAGTGATTAAGATTTAGAAGAATTTTAAGGTCTCCCTGAGCTCTGTGATCATATGAATTTGTGGCACAATTGAGTACTAAGTGAGAAATACTTAAAAAGATTATATTGAGTTCTAGACGAGCTGGACTTGCCAAACAATCCACCTGTCTGTAGTGAGAAATGTACCGCATCTGTCCGTCATAGAAGGAACCTTAGTGGTGTAGTGATTATGCGGTGGGCTGCTAACCACAAGGTCGGCAGTTCAAACTCACCAGTCATTCTGCAGGAGAAAAACGAGGCTTTTCTACCCCTGTAAAGATTTACTGATTTGTAAACCCACAGGGCTAGTTCTAGGTCGCTGTGAGTGGAAATTGAATTTATGGCAGTAAGTCAGGTCTTTGGAAGAGGGAAAGAAAACTATAAAGATACATGACTAGAATGTAAACCCTGTTAGCATTTTATGGATGTAAGATTGGTACAAGAGAGGCTGTTCAGCAGTGTGCTAGCCTACAGGAGAAAATGCCAAGCAGTGTGCTAGCCTGCAGGAGAAAATGCCAAACAGTGTGCTAGCCTACAGGAGAAAATGCCAAACAGTGTGCTAGCCTGCAGGAGAAAATGCCAAGCAGTGTGCTAGCCTGCAGGAGAAAATGCCAGGTCCATCGTTTAGAAGAGCAATGCTCCACGTGACTTCTTGAATCCCGGTCACGTCAGCCTCATCAGTTCAGTAATTCTACTTCATCTACCAAGATAATATAATTGTTTGGCTTGTCTGTTCTTCTTCTTCTTTTTTTCGGTAAAATATACAGCAGTGATCTCCTATTTTGGTGTTCATTTATTTTTCAATATGTTTTTTATTGTGGGCAAAAAGAGAGAGAATATTTGGGAAATGCCCAGGAAACTACAGTGCGCTGCTAGTGTCTGTTGTTGTTTTTCATAACAATGAAGATCTCATGACATTCCTTGCTTTGTTCTTGTATTCTTTGTGAACAAAAGCACAATGCTGCCTTGATAGAGTCCTGTGTTTTAGTAGAGATGATCTTATTAAAAGCACATATGCAATATTAACTCTTTGTCTAGAGTCCAAGATGTGCCAACCCCAGATGGGATTCTATGAAGGAAAGAATACTTGTGTCATAGTTCTTCTAGGCATTTAAAAAACAAAACAGAACAAGAAAACAGGCCTTTTGAAGTCTAGCCATGCGAACAGTGATACATGTGTCTCACAGTCTGTTAAAACCAGAAATATTCATCACTGGGAATTTCTTAAAGAACAATAGCATAAGTCTTCAATACCATTCCAGGAGATTAATTTTACAAAAGGATGAGCTATATTTACATGCACTGGTGCAGATAGATCTCTGGGATAGACGATAAGTGAAGGAAATACAAAGGGACGCTCCTGTGCTTGAATTGCTTCCTAGTTGTATGAAATTAAGTGTCATTGTGCCCAATTACTAGAATAATACTGGAAGAAAATAGAGAAAACTGTATGACCTTGTCTTTCAAAGATAGCTGGGCTTTTTTGGTCTATTTTATAAGCTTTAGATTTGTATTAGGTACCTGGGTGGCACAAATGGACTGTGCTTGATCACTGACCTAAGGTTGGTGGTTCTAACTTACCCCCCGCCCCAACACTGCATAAGCACAGCGTGTTTGCTTCCTTTAATGGGTTTTTGTTGTGGCTGTGTTTCTTTTGTATGTATGGTTTAACAAAAGACCTTTCACCAATGGTATTTCATTTCACTCTCAGAGTTATCTTGCTAAGAAATTTAAAAAACAAGCCAAACCAATTGCTAGCAAATTGACCCTGATCCATGTGTGCTAGTAGAACTGTAAGCCCCATAGGATTTCTAATGGCTCGTTTTTCAGAAGTGTGTGGGCAGACCGCCCCCACTTCCCACTCCTACTCCCCCATCCCCACCCACCCCAGCACACCTGGGTGAACTCAAACCTCCAGCCTTTTGGTTAGCAGCTAAATGCATGAACTATTTGTATTAATCAAGGACTTCCAAGGCAGGGGTCTATTTATTGATAAAGGCGACAGGCATACAGTGGCTTTCTCAGGGTCAAGGACTATTTAATGATTAAACTTTGACCTGCTCCCGGGTATCCGATTCAGAGTCACACTGTCTCCATATTATAGGCACCATAGCACCCCTTTTTAGAGGGAAAATAGTTCTACAAAGGCTGTATGTGTAAGTATTTCTCTATGCCAGGTATTTTTTGGTTTTGTTTCACGAGGAAGGTGCAGTTACTAGTGTGGTTAAGCAGGAATTGCTGATGAAAATGGAATCGGTTACTGACAGGATTGGCCTAATTAACATCCAAAAATATTTTCACCTTTAAAAGTTTATTTCTTTTTGTTTAGTAATATTTCAAAACACTACTTCAAAACTGTGTGCATTTTTAATAGTGTGTCCTGCATGAACTCCTAGGATTTTCATTCATATTTTAGTGAGTTTTATTGTCCTTTTTATTTAAATGAGACCTGCTAACACGTATGGAGTCACTATGAGTCAGACTCTACTCGATGGCAGAGAGAGAGAGAGAGAGAGAGATGGTGGAGTAGTTAAAGCACTCGGCAGCTATAAACTGCAAAGTTAGTGTTCCAAACCCCCAACTGCTCCTCAGGAGAAAGATGTAGCAGTCTGGGGAAGATTTACGACCTTGGAAGCCTTATGTGGGTAGTTCCATGAGTCATAAGCACCCAGTGGCAGTAGTATGGTGAGGAGGGATCAAAGAAATATGTTAAACCCTTGTGTCAATAACAATTTAAAACACTTAATGCATCCTCCCCCCACCACAGTACATGGCTGCGAAATAGCAGCAATACATGAGCTGCTACCTGGAATGTTGGTGGTTCAAATCCACTTAGAAAAGAAGACTGGAGACCTATTCGCACAAGGTCACAACCACTGAAAGCCCAATGGAGCAGGGTTCTATGCTGACACACATGGGGTCCCCAGAAGTTGAAAACAACATGACAGCAATTAGTACTAGCTGACATATGCCAGGAACCCAACATTTCCTGATAACAATAACTTTCAGTTATAATGTTCTTATTCAGTAGAGTCTTAATTGGAAATTAAAGTGAACTTCTTTCAGCCTTTTCCTATCTCTGTCATAGTTTCTATGTCTGAGAGAAAATTCTTCCCATTGTTTAAAAAGTGCTCCTCTCCAGTTGACCATGAAGAATAGAACTCAGGGCTTGCAGAAGTAAGAATGAAGAGAAGTGAAATTCTACCCACACTACCACATGGACACACACACACTACACACAAGCATGCCCGTTGCTGTCTCAGTATCACCAACCCAAAGGCAATATTTTTAAATGTGCTTGTCTGTGTAGTCCAATGTATGGCTTCCCTTTCTCTTTAATGCCTTCCCTGCTATTTAAGGTGAGAGAATTGCAGGATGATTTGTCTCAGCAGCACTTTCAGGGAGTGCTTTGGGAATTGTGCCCTGTACTGTATAACTGTACTTTTGAGATATTGCTTTTGCCTAATTGAAGACAATATGCCCAATTACAGTTCTTTGGTTCACAATATAAAATTAGGAGCAATAATGCGATCTCAGCAGTCATGCCTTTACTAAAT